GCATTCCTGAAATGCTTGGCGGTGGTGGTTTTGCTGGGCCAGGGTATCAGGCATTTCTCCAGAGCGTTGATACGAGGTCAACATTCACTCGCTAGGGTGTCAGTGATGAACCAGGATCTGTCCTAGGTCCTTGGGGGGTGTGGAGTGCTGACAAGTAGTGCCCTATGTGGTTCTGTGTGCTAGCAAAAGCTGTGAAGAAAGCCACCCAGGGGTGAGATCTGAGGTAGGAGGTGAGATCAGGGTAGAGGCAGTTAGGAGGTGAGACTGGAGAGAGGAAGTGAGACCTGAAGAGGGAGGCGAGAGATATGAGGTGGGAAGGTGCTGGCCTCTGCAGATCGTAGAGAGAAGTTGGAATTTTTATAGAATGAAGACGTGGTCAAAGGGCCTAAGCCCAGCATGTTTAGTGTCTTTATTAGCCAAGAAATGGTTCATTCTGTCTTCCAGCATTTTCTACTTGGTTATTTGCTTCTTCCCAAGTAAATCACATTACATTTAGCAGAAAGGGCTTCAGGAACTCTTATTTCCCATGTGCTGAGGATGTAGAGACGCATAGTCCCACCCTTAGCACTGTGGATGGGAGGAAGACCAGCTCTGGGGACATGGTTGTGAGCAGATCCCTGCGGGCAGAAGGGGGTGCAGGAGCTGGGAGTCAAAGGTAACCCTGAGAGAGGCTCACCAGGGGCCAAGGGTCCCATCCAGGGGGACTGGGCCCCTTGCAGTGGTGATTCTCTTGTCTCTTGAGTCAGGTCACTACTGAGTCACTGCCTGCCTAACTGAAGTCCCAGTGAAGGGCCTCTGTGACCCAGGTGCAACCTTCCCCTGGGGCTCTCTCTAAACAGAATCTTCACATGCAGAGGAAGGAGTGCAGCTTCACCATCTGTCTGAGGCTTCTAGAGTGTGCCGAGTGCCCCAGAGATATCTCTCCATGTGGGGGAGGACTGTGCCGTATATGCTCTGGATCCAAGGTGCAGCCCAGAGCTGGAGCATAGAATTGGCATGGGTATGGACAGGTCCTGGAGCCGGCTGGCGTGGGCACCCTCATGTGTCCTTTGTCAGCCTGGGAACCGCCAGGGTGAGGGTGCTGTGAGTGGGGGCTGTCAGCAGGAGTCCCCTTTGCTGTGAAGAGGTCACGGTGGCCTGCTGAAAGTCAGGACTCAAGGGCTCCTGAGACCCGTACTTTCTAGAAGGCTCTCTATATCATTCTGTCTCTGTGGGTTTCAGAGTGCTGGTAGGACCCTCATTTTACATTTGGGTAAAAGGAAGAGGGAGAGGGCCAGCCAGATGGCATGGTGGTTAAGATGGCTGGGTCGCATGTGGCTGACTCCATGATGTGAGTTCTGAACCTGGTGGTTTGAGAAACACACTGGGTGCTTGTGCATGCATGCCCAAAATCCTGAGAGAAGAACAAAGAAGAGATTGTGGTATGGCCATCTCCCCAGAGAGAGGTGACTTCTCTT